AGTTGGATGAGGATCAGGAGGAAGAGGATGACACTGACGAAACTCCTAGCGCAAACCATGTTGGATCTGCTTCTGTGTCTAGTAGAAATATACCAGAGGATAATTCTGGAGGGTCGTCTCTTTTTGATAATAACTTGTATAATAACATGAGTTCCTACCAGAGTCACAGGCATGCTTTTGAGCATGATGAAGGTTGGTGTGATGCTTACTTGAGCGGTTATACTATCTGCCTTTCCAGTTTGCCTTTTGGTTGCAACTGCATATTTTCTTGCAATTTTTTTTTTAAGTAGTTAAATTAAATTCTGTGCTATTTAGTCCTTGACATGTTTTTCGGTTGGCTCTGTATTCCATGATGTATGCCTACTGATTGAAATGTTGAACTAAGACATGGAGTTTGTAATCATGGTTAATCAATCATAACCATGTCTACAATTGGTTGATGATTGCACTTCTATTTGGTTAGTTTTTCTTTTAATGAATTTTTTTTTTTTTGGGTTTCATTATTAAAATGTGCAGTATATGAGTTATCAATTTCAATTTTACGCGTGATATATTTGCACCAATCCCCTTTGCTTCTGGGCTATGGTTCCCCAAAACTATTTCTACACCTCTTTCACTTTGATTTCTTGTAACTAATGCCACTATGATATATATGATATTTGCCTTCATGATTAATGCCTTTTCCATGGAGTTACTACAATTTACAGCTTATTTATTTATTTATTTTATTTCAGCTGAAGATAGTTCTTCTTCAGTGACTGCAAAGCTGCAGCAACTTGATTTACAGAATGATGATCGAGGGCCACCACCTGAAGAGGATAACCCTTTAGTAATAATACCAAATCACCTCCAAGTGCATACTCCTGACTGCTCACACCTGAGCTTTGGAAGTTTTGGGTCTGGTTCTGCTTTTTCTGGGCCATTTGCATCAAGGCCCTTGAAAAGCAATTTGGAGGAGGCATCTGAACCAGCAGATGTGTCGTCGATTGCTCACTCTGACACTAGGTATGCCTTTGGCATGTCCAGATTTTCTATATTCTACTTGTTTCTTTTATACTTTGTAATAATCTTAACTTGTTTTGTGCAGAACTCCCGAGTATTATGGGGATGAGCATCTCAGAAGTACCTCAGATGCTAATATAGTACATAGACCCAATGTGAGTGCTGGGGATTATGATCCTCCTTCTGTTTCACAGCCAGAGGTGTTGAAACAGGAAACCCCTGAAGTTGCTCAGGAGAACCAATATTCATTCCCTTCATCTGCACCTGGTTATACTTATGAAAATGCCCAGCAGTTGAATACTGCATTTCCTCATCAGCAAGCAAGCTCTCAGATGCAGAATCTTGTTCCATTCTCAAGCGTGATGGTAATAGCAAACTCATAGTCTTAATTTGAAAATATATATTTGATGGTTGGCTTAGTGAAAACAAAGAGCACTAGTTGATTTCAAAGCAGCAAACTGTATCATAAATAATTGCCTAGTGAGACTCATTTAGGCTGATCTAGGTTTCATTTCAAAGAGAACTTCCACTAATTTGATTTTAACACCATTTTCAGATGTATCTTTTGCGTGGGGAGTACAGTGGTGATTATATTTTGGCAGTAAATGTAAACAATTAATCACTCTTGTTAAGAGAAAGGACATCTAAAATTCTTTTGGTGGGGCTATTTTAAGAAATTAATTTGGGGGCTCTTTTCTGACCGTTGTCATTATCATTATGATTGTTGCACACTATGATCTTATTGTTTATGCTTCTGCTTTTGCCTTGTATGTTTCCTTGCATTCTTTTTTTTTTTTTTTTAATAGAAAGCTGGCTAAACTTACGAGGCCTGGAATTATACTTTTAGTTGGTTGAATGCCTCTTTGTATGTTGTTGCAGGCATATACCAATTCACTACCTAGTACCTTGTTGGCATCAACTGTTCAAACTCCGAGGGAGCCTGACCTGCAGTACTCGCCCTTCCCTGTGTCACAATCAATGCCAACAAAGTACAGCAACACAGCTTCTTCCATCAGTGGTCCAGCCATTTCCATGCCAGAGGTGCCACCCTTGGTCTATCTTATCCGACTTCTTAAATTATAATGCATTTGAGAATTTTATTTACTTAATATTTTTTTTTGTACTACTTAAATTGCCGAGTTGGTAATCTCTGGTTGCATTAAAAAATGTAGATATATCAATTAAGTTTAATAAAATTAGAGAAGGGTGTGCATACAAATGCTGCTACTCATGACAACTTTAGTATCATCTAAGAAGGTTATCTTTTTGAGAGATCTCAAGTCTTATTAATAATAGCTATGGTGTGCTCTTTTGACATCCAGCAGGGTTGCATCTTATGTTATGTAGGGGTAACAACGTGTCTGATTTTTTCTTGTGTTGAGGTTTGAAATTATTACTTGGCTATGTCTACTTGTTTGAAGAAGATGATATATGTGACAGTAGACTGTCAGTAGCTGTGATATGGGAAATCTAGTTTAAATGACTCTTAAAATGTGATAGAGAATTCATTATTTCTTCACTGTTCTGAGTTTTTTCTGTGCATATTCAGGCTTTAAGAGCAAGTAGTATTTCCACACCTCAACCAACTCCGCAGACACTGCCAGGTGCTAGTGTTGCCACAGGACCGGCTCTTCCACAACACCTTGCTGTGCACCCTTATACCCAACCTAGTCTTCCTTTGGGTCATTTTCCGAATATGATCACTTATCCTTTTGTGCCTCAGAGTTACACATATATGCCATCAGCTTTTCAACAGACATTCGCTGGTAATAGCACATACCATCAATCTCTGGCAGCAGCAGTGCTCCCACAATACAAAAATAGTGTTTCTGTCAGCAGCTTGCCTCAGTCTGCTGCTGTTCCCTCTGGCTATGGGTTTGGGAGTTCAACCAGCATTCCTGGAGGAAACTTTCCATTGAATACACCTGCTGCTCCTGCAGGCACAACCATTGGCTATGATGATGTTTTAAGTTCTCAGTACAAGGACAGCAATCATTTAATCTCACTTCAACAGGTAATCTACTAATCTCTTCAATGAGCATCATAAAACCTAATGATAAAGTGGCATTGTGCTGACAACAATTTTGCACACAAGTTTTCTCGTAAAAGTGGACTCACCATTGTAGTAATGAGAGCGATAGTAACTTTTTTATAGTTCTGTTTGATTATTCAGAGTTTATGGCAGGTTTGATCTGTAGAATGATTTGATATTCATCGTATGACCCTAATTGTATTTTTCTAGCAGCATCTTAAAATTGTTTGTCTTTGTTGCTTGGCCAGAATGATAACTCAGGGATGTGGGTTCATGGACCTGGTTCACGGACAATGTCAGCAGTGCCACCCAGCACATATTACAGCTTCCAGGGTCAGAATCAGCAGCCTGCCGGGTTCCGGCAAGGTCAGCAGCCATCACAACATTTTGGGGCACTTGGATACCCAAACTTTTACCACTCACAGACGGGGATGTCACTAGAACATCAGCAGCAAAACCCTAGAGACGCATCCCTTGGTGGCTCTCAAGCCCAACCATCGAAGCAGACTCAGCAGTTATGGCAAAACAACTACTAATCAAAATCACCTCCTGGTTTTTCAGGGTCTTGCAGTGAGTTTGAAAGTAGCCAATCAAAGGGGAATTTGTGCGTTTAAAAAATAATTCAACATATGTGGAAAATTGGTGATGGTCTAAAGAGACCTTAGAGTGGCTACTGCCCTGTACCATGAGGTTGTATTCTTAGTATTTATGGCTTGGTATGTTAACTTAGGAACATTTAAGGGTGTGCTAATTTGGGTTAGTGGACTACGTGTTCGTTGCCTTATCTCATCACTTGTTCTCGCCTGTTATAGTGAAAATTTGCTCTCTTCACCTTTTTTCGTTTCTTTAGTTTTTTCTCTGGACAATGGACTCTTGTAATTCTGATTTTTGCGATGCTTATCTAACAGTTCCTTTCTCCTTGTACTTGTACCCAATTTTTTGTAGTAAAAAAATTAACTTCTCTTTCAATGATGGACTTAAAAGAAATCAAAAATTAAAAAATTGTCACTGTTTTATGCAGTGTTTTAAAACCCAGCCTGGCTTGGCCTGGCCGGTTTAACTAGGACTTACACTAGGTTGGATTAACAATTTTACTATTTATCTAAAACCCTAGAATTTGGGATGATGATTGGCGAATAATTAAAGATTGGGATGTTGGGGTTTTTGAAGAGGAAGTGTCGGTGAGTATATGGTGGCGATGGAATTGATTTTCGGTGAGCTAATTAATCGTAAATAGAAAAAAGTTGGTGGCAGTAATAGTTAGCTTTTATTGGCGATTAGTGAGGTGAATAGGGGTGGAGTGAGGTGAGGTTTGGTCATGAGGCTAAGGGGAATATTTTCATAGTGAAGGGGAGGATTGTCGACGCTAAAAGTGGCGGCGTTGGTTAGATCTGGCCGAAATCGGTTGATTTTGGTTAGACCTTTGATAGATTTTCTAAGATATGGGTTTAAGGAATGATTGAGATTGTATTTGGTATGTCATTGCCGTCAACTAGTCGATAACCAATTTGAATTTAGGATATGTTTGCTAAATTTTAAACTTATAAGAACTTAATAAAAGTTTTAGGGTTGAATTAAAAAATTTTTAACACCCAATTTGACTGCCGATCAAACCGGTTGAACCAATCAACTGGAAAGTGATGAAACCCGAAAACTTTGTTGGGTTTTCCTGTGATGGTTATTAAAACATTGGTTTTAAGTAACCTAAGCAAGAATGTAAATGGACTTGAGCATTTAATGCAATGGCCCAATAGCTATAAATATCCGACAACAAATGGTCCAGTAACAGTGAGGTATGATTGAATCGATCCCTTAGCCTTAAACTCCTTTACTGGCCAAAGTCTATCACTTAATCACGTAGAGAGTGCCACATGTCATAATGATACAGTCACTCTCGCTGAGCTTGTACGAGTACAACATGCTTTTGGGTTGGCGCAAGTTAACCATGGTATTTTACGCTGCAACGGCGCATTTTAGCATACTTTACCCATCATACTACCAGCTCTAAAGCTTGAATTGAACACTGTTTGCTTTAATGCAGTCTCTCTTAAAAATCATTCTCTTATCTCTCTCTTTTTTTTTTTTTTTTTTTCAAGAGATTCCATCTGCATAACACCTGGTATCTCTCATTTTCTCAAATTTTTTCTTATTATTTTTCATTTTCGATTCTTTGCTTGCTATCTAAGCATATAAAGGATATATTTTATTTGCATCGCTTCACTTGCTCACTGGCTCCTCTTGGCACTTTATTGCAACAGTTTCTGGATTTATTTTGAGGCCAGGTTCTGCGAACGCTGTCGTTTCGCAATCTCCGTTAACTTTCGTGGTCACTGGTAAAGTAGTTCCCCAATTTTGTTTTGTATTTTCTTGTTGTGTTCAGTTTGATTATAAATCTATAGTGTTTAATTGTTTGAGTAATTTAAATACGACTGAATTGATGACAGTTTAACGAAGTGCATGATTGCGGTAAGATTAAATTCTAAAATTCGAAATATGAGCGGCAAAATTGAATTTTGAAATGCGAAATATGAACCGAAAGTGGTAAATAATATATAAACATTTGTTTAAAGCGAAATTGGAAGTAGTAATAGTTTGCCGTGAAACAAGTCAGTAGAATTCAGTGGATCGTATTTTTTTTGGAAAGATTCGTTGAGATATTTATTGTAATAGAAAGTCACCAACACTCATATTTGTGAAAAAAATTGTGAACATGAATTTGTGTGACTCAATTTAATATCGTTTATTAATTTGGTGAAACCCTTAAGTTGTCGTGGTTGATAAGAGGAAGAAAATGTAGAAAAGGAGTGACTCAATATTGATATTTGTCATTGGCTATCATCAATTTACTAATTTGCTTTTTTCTTGTGCACAGATGGAACACAAAAGCAGTGACTTGAGTGAGGATCACTCCATTTCTGAAGGCAATAAAATGATGCAACCTGGAAGCAATCAGAATTATGCCAGTAGAGACGTTACACCCTCGAGTGAACTTTGGACTGGTGGGCTTATTTGTGCTTTTGAATTTATTCGAGGCCGTAGAAGATCAATGAACTCAAAATCTAGTTCAAAGGTTCCAAGTAGACAGTTAGATGGTGACAATCAAAAAATGAAAGTTCCATCAAATGAACTAAGTGAGGCTTCTTTCTCAAGAGTGGACAGGAACAAATTACTAGAGTCATCATTGCTTAATGAATTGAGAAGCAATCAGTTTTCTCCTTTATATGACTACAGAGCTGGCCATATCCATCAAGTAGACCCATTTAGTTCTGCCGAAAGATATGATGGCAGTCATTGGGTTCCTATTGGGTGGGCTAGAATTTCCGAACTTGTTCAAAAAGTGCAAGTTGATGGTGGATGGGCTCAGCAACAATTGGATCTAGTGGATGATGAAAATGACATTACTGTTGCAGATATAGCTGCTCCTTATTGGGAGCGCCCTGCAGGGCCCATATGGTGGTGCCATGTGGCTGCAAGCAACTCATCTGTTCAGGCATGGCTCAAGAATGCTCAATGGTTGCACCCTGCTGTCAGTTTAGCTTTGAGAGAGGAAAGTCGACTGATAAGTGAGCGGATGAAACACCTTTTTTATGAGGTAGACAGATTATTTTATAGACATGCTAATATCATAGGCAGAAATAACTTTACGAATTATGAGGCATCTGTCTGAGAATAACAGATAATCCCACCTGTATTGAATTGGATATGTAGTATTTAAGCAAATGCATATTATTAGTAATTCTCACGATTCGTTATGGATCTAGCCTATAATATTCTTTGGGTGATGAAGGGGAAGTATTCTTTATTTGGTGTGTGATTTAGTTATCATATGATCCTTAACTTGGCATGATAATAGTGTTTGCTTGAGTGTCCTCTTATTAATGAGAGATAAGCTGATAACTTGTTTTGGAAGGAAATGATGCCTTCTTATTTTCAAATTTTAATGAACTCTGGCTTTGTTAGGTTGTTGATTGCCTTTCATTATTTATTCAGGTCCCTGTTAGAGTTGCTGGAGGACTTTTATTTGAGCTCTTGGGTCAATCAGTTGGTGATCCATTTGTAAATGAGGATGATATTCCCATTGTACTTCGCTCTTGGCAAGCACAAAACTTCCTTATAACTGCACTGCACATAAAAGGACAGGTGTCAAGGAGCAATATTTTGGGTATCACCGAAGTTCAGGTTTTTCATGCTTGATTCAAATCCCTTCACTGATCTTCTATCTATTGACAAAGCATGATTTAATATGCATTCAGTATCAAAATTTTACTTCATTACTGGTTGATTTCTTTGGTTTAGGAGCTTCTTCTTGTTGGAGGTTATAATGTGCCGAGAACTGTGCATGAAGTCATAGCACACCTGGCTTGCCGTCTTAGTAGATGGGATGATAGGTAATGGTATATTACATATTGACTGTAGAGATTGACAACTCATGGACTTATATAAATTCCATCCATTTAGTACGGACTCATTTTGGTCATTTTCTTGGTTTTTACCTTGTCAAATAGCGAAGCACCTATCATATACATATAAGAACAAATACTGGAGATTACATATCTGCATAATTTCGTCCAATAAACCTACAATATGGGTTCCTACTGTTCATTGGTGAACTGATGCCCACTCCTCTTTCATGCATGTGCGTCTGACATTCTATCTTCTAATAGGGTTTAATTGATGAGAAAGTCTTCCCTCTGCTGGCACTTCTGTGCTCAATCAATGAGGTATGCCATATCAGTGCACATGGCTTGCTCATGCCTCGTGATTGGTCGGGTGCACATGCAATGGGCATAAGGAAGACTTTCTTGACATGTTTGAATGGAGGATGCGTTATTTTTAAGATAAAAACTAAGCCATTGTAAATAAGAAAAAAAAAAAGAAAAGATAATGTTAAGAATTAATCAATTTAGTTTTTATCGAAATGCAGAAGTAAACGTAAAGAATTTTTTTCCTTTCTTTTATGTGATTACATCTTTTCCTTGAAAATGAGTGGTTTCCTTCTTTTTGTAATACAATATTAAAATCTGGTTAACTAAATAAGTTAGTCCACTGAAAAACTTTTAGTTGCATTCATATAAAGATCTCAAGCATTGGTTTATCTATCCATATCACAGAGCATTTTATTAACAATCACAGAATCACTCAAAAGAATTAGAATAAGACAAGCAATTTTAGCAGATTTGAATTTCTTGACTTAGGCTTTTCCTTCTATCTTCTTAATATGGTTTAGGTTATTTCGCAAGTCCATATTTGGGGCCGCAGATGAGATTGAGTTGAAGTTTATGAACAGGTTTTTTAAAACATACTACCATTTCTCCAAAATCAAGTTTGTTATGTAGATTAATATACTTTGCTTTTGACAAGGAATTCTCTGTCCTCAGGAGAAACCTTGAAGATATAAACCTTTTTGGTATCATTTTAAACCAGGAAATCAGAAAGTTATCAAGACAGGTATGTTATAGTCTCTTGCTAGAATGAAGGCTACTGTTGTTGCTGAACTACCATCATTTATCAAAATATGGTTATATATAATTCTTGTAACTTATGACTGCCGTGTGATTTACAAATAGTGTGAACTAAGTTCTTTTTACTTCATACTTGATTCAGTATCTCCTTTCTCATTGATGCAATTGAGATGATATACTTATCATGTGCTTTGAATGGGCCTTTCAGTGAGTATGTGTTTTTATTGATTATGTGTTATTTCTGTTGGTAGTAGAAAATGAAAGAACTTAGCAAATAGATATACTTTTGAAAGGTTTGTTCGTGCAGATTTATATTCAGATTGGTAAGAGAATGGAAAGAAAAATTGGAGTTTGGAGGCAATTAGTCTTTCTGTATCTTGGGATCTAGTAATGCAAGAGCTTCTATTAGCTCTTGGAATCTTTGGACTCAATTGCTGAGAAGAAGCTGAAACAAATCTTAAAAGTGTACCAGTCAAGTTCATATTCTTGTAATTGCTTTTGATAAATACCAGAGTGTGATAGTTTATCTTTGATTTCCATGGCACAAGTAACTCTGTTGGCTCAATGACTCGAGTAAAGATTTGCATATCTATCATTACCTGTGGTTATGCACACTGCTTTCCGTATGTGAACTGGTTTTGTAGTATTGTAACCTCTGGCACTTAACTATGATATTGCACGGCTTCCTGAATTCTTTCAACCTAGAAGTCCACCCGCTTTTTAAAATGAATTATAAATTCTATTATTGGCCATGTTATAGCTTCTCTGTTTCTTTTATATGGGATTGTTCATTAGTGTAGCTTCCAGTGAGATCTTTATGGATTTTAAGAAGGTAGTTAAAATTTTGCATTTCTCCAATGCAGGTTATCAGAGTGAAATGGTCTCTCCATGCAAGAGAGGAGATTGTGTTTGAGCTTCTTCAACATTTGAGGGGAAATGTATGTCGAAGCTTGATAGAAGGAATAAGAAAGAGTACAAGGGATATGATTGAGGAGCAGGAAGCAGTCCGGGGTCGCTTGTTTACCATTCAAGACGTTATGCAAAGCACTATTCGTGCATGGTTGCAGGTTTGTACACGAAAACAAAGAAACTGTTTGTTATCTTTAATTCCCAGGCCAATCATGTAATACACTTTTTACCTTAGCTAATTTAATTTGTTCGTCATTCAGGACCGGAGCCTTCGAGTAACGCATAATTTGGCAGTTTTTGGGGGTGGTGGTGTCGTTCTCACTATCATCACTGGGCTGTTTGGAATCAATGTCGATGGAATTCCTGGAGCAGAGAATACACCATACGCATTTGGTTTGTTTACAGCCATTCTCTTCGTCATAGGATTTGTGCTAATTGCAGTTGGGTTAGTTTACCTAGGGTTGAAACAGCCTATCACGGGGCAGCAGGTTGAAATTAGGAAGTTGGAGCTGCAAGAATTGGTCAAAAAGTTTCAGCACGAGGCAGAGACTCATGCCCAGGTACATAATTATTCCCGGAATAATTTGCCTCCTACTGCTGGAGACGTTTTCTCACCTAATGCAGATTACATTGTAATTCAGTAAGGAATATTTTTCAAATTATTTAATAGATATGAAATTTGCCCTTGGTAGTTGTTGCTCCCTGCCAAAAGAAGATCTAGAAAGATTAAATTTGCAAATTACCTTTAAGTTCATAAGACAATACTACACTTACAACCTAATCTCACAATTTCGACGTGACAGTTCGCAATTGATCAGCTTACAATGAGTTTTACTTGTCCAATAATAAGTTTTGCCTGTCTAATTGCGAACTGTCACGTTGAAATTGTGAAAAAAAATTTATAAGATTAGATTGTGAGTCAGTCTTTATTGTATAAAGATTCTATTAATCAATATTATGGGTGTGTGTAGCTTTCCATTCATACACAAGCAATATTCTAAAAACCATTTTTAATTCCTCGGATAATCAGCACTGTTCTCTGTGTTTAATGTTCAAATCAATAGAAGTTTATATGACAAAAACATTCAAATGTGAAAAGCCAGCAATTCTGTGATGACTGCAAGGAGAATTGCTGGCACTCTTGACAGCACAAATAGCTACATCATCCACCCGATTTTAAGAAAGCAACACTAAAACAAATCTGATGCCTAGAAACCCAGTACATAAGTATAGTAAAACTTGAGAATTGCAAGAATAAGTCTCCGCTCTCTCATTTAAGAAGGGATCTTGTTATATGTTCACGAGCAGTGGCCAATGCTTGACTAATCGTCTGCAAAAATTTAAAAAAAAAAAATTTACAAATGAAATATGAGGGCAATATGGCATCCATTTGTCAATACTATTTTGATAATTTCTTTTTGCAAGAGAACGAAGATGAGTTTCGACTAACCTGCTCAGATAAAGGAGCTCCAGCATCCATACTATGACTTGCAACCTTCCCCGCAATAACATTTGCATCAGTTTCAAGAATAATACTGCAAGGAATGTCAAATAAAATCGTTAAGTCAGATTTCAGTCGGCGGCTTCAAAAAGATGAAAACAATCCCCAAGCATAGTGAACAAATGATTAAACATGTAATCACATTTTGACACAGCTACGTATGCAAGATTTATTTCTTATCGACACCTACCATGTACTAAAAAGGAAATGGTACTCTATGGAACGATATATTGACTTTACAAATTTTTGAGAGACCTCAGGCACAAAATGTCCTGTATGTTTAGCAACATTGTCAAAAAAGTATTGGACAAGAAAAAGTACACAAATATATTTAGGATCAAAAGTAGTAATCCCGTTTAAATTATTAAATGGAAGTTGTTCTGTAGTCTCGGAAAATCTTGAGTATCCCAAAAAACTGATAGTGTATGAATAATCTCAATCCACCAATCTACAGTGTTTTCTCCAACTTTCAATATTGAGGCACAATGGCATTCCCATTATCTATCTGAGAACCCAATCAAAAATCAAGTTGCCCTACCTCCCAAACTAAAAGCTAAAACTGAAATACTGAAGACAATTTCAAATGGCAATGCCAAACTAATACTCATTGATTCATTACTTGTTTATCACATAGGAGTTCTTTAGTTACAAGGTATCATAAATTTTCAACAAGACAGTTTGCCAAACATGGTATCCTAAATTCTCAGTTTCAGAAAACAATATGAGCCCAAGACAGGGCTTGGACAAGCCAAAAAGTTTAAAAAATAAAGAAATCGTGCAAATAAATTGAATAAGATTTAATAACAAATAGCAAGTTGCATACCCGCCGTCAACAATTTCATCAAGGCATAACAAAATGAGATCTAAGTTCTCAAGAGCCTCCTTCTTGTCCACATTCCCTCTGAAGCAAGGAAGAATTAAAATAGATATTATAAATTACTGAATATGAGATCTGAATAGATAGAAAGTGGCAAGTACTATGCAAAAACCTTAGGAGAAGGCCAACTGCATCAAAAAATCCCTGAAGAACTGTGGCCAAGATCAGCTCATTTTCATCTTCACCTCCAGTAACAAAAAAGTGAAGGTCTTGAACGAACTTGTAAACAATAATGTTGTTTTCCAACATAGCTATCTCCGCTGTAGAAGCAGAAATACCAACAGATTTGTAGAGAAATAATAATTTCCAAAGATAACAGAATAAATTCACAAATTTCCCTGTTCAACCATTCAAAGCAATGAAACATAAAGAACACCAAATCCTATGTAACTTATTAAACACAGATCGGAAATTGAAAATTGAAAATTCAATAATTGTCACGGCCCCATCTTACCAGAGGCACGGCCGGGTGAATTCACAAAGCCCCAACCCACTCCTCGTGACTCACAAAGTACTGTCCCCCCTTTTAAGGCATTTCTTTCGCCTCCCCCACCACTCGAACCCAAGACCAAGGGACTATAGTCAATTGGGAAGCATGGTGAGTACCATCAGGCTAACTGAAATCCCTTAAGAGGGGGGGACAGTACTGAGTAGAATGGTCACGAGAGTGGGTGCTTTGTGATCCCCAGTTGGGCCCACGGTTAGATTGGGTCGTGACAATAATGCACAGACAATAAACTTTTAAATTTCTCTTAACTAATGATGCTTCAAACAGAAACAGGCTTATCTAACTACTTATGTCCATAATCCAAATGATGTCCTATGAGTATCAATCATGCAATAATCCGCAAAATAAACACATACGCCACTTGATATGTTTCTATTCTATGTATGTGAACTACAGTATGCATGATTCGCCAAATAAAAACAAAAGGAACTCAAGATACAAGTACATTACTTCTGTTATGAGCATAGTAATCAATACCAGTTAGGAGGAATCTGAAATATCAAACCACACTACACATGCATAAAGGGGATCTAATCCGATGGGAAGAATAGGCCACTATACACAAGCAAACATCTCAAGGCAAACACAAGGATGCACAAGGAACAATCAAAATGAAAAACCTTAACAGAAAACCAAATGCAAATAGTTTACCTTCAGTCCGAGCATTGGTCTTTTGGGTCTTAGTAAATACAGCTTTCTCAAAAGCTTCCTTTGCGGCATTGGTCGGCCAGTCACCCGAGTAATACTTGACAGCCACACGTTTCCCTTCAGAATCCAGGAGGAGAATATTCTTTATGGACGGACACGACTCCTACAAAACACACTCGATTATTTTCTTCAACTTGAAACCGAACATATCATTCATATTTTCACTTCTCGTTTTCAACCAAAAGAATTTATCACAAACAACCCAAATCTCAACCATTTCAATGCGTCCAGTACTCCAAATCCCCACTTCATATTTACAGCAACAACCTCTCAAATGGATCAGTTAAGCCAATGTTGATCCAATATTATAGTTAAGAATTCATAATTTTGGATTCATAAGACTATCAATTACCTCTAAATTCAATCAGAGTAATCATTCAGTAATGTATATACTTAAAACTCAATCAAAACTATTAACATCAGGTCTTTTATGAAACACACAAGATCTATTATGTCTTAGCAAACGAAAACATAGATCTCCCTAAAATTTCCAAAAAAACAATAAGCTAAAGAAAATAGAAAAAGAAAGCAACCCAATTGACATCTCAAGTAAACAAGCTGAGATCTGAATCACAGACATCGAAAACTAAGCGTGACCAACTAGATCTTATGAAAAATTAAAAATAAACAAAAGAACAATTAACAATGCAATTTAAAATAGAGCGAGAAAGAAAGGGGGCGAATAATAAGAAACTGACCATTTTCGTTGCTACGGGAAACTTCGTACTCTGAAATTAATTTGAAGGTTTAAGTCTACGAAGAGTGATATAATAAGCAAATGGTATGGACTACTTGGCCCGAGCGACGGAGCGAGCACAAAAAGGAGAAAGCATATCAAAATATCTATTTACTATTAAGGTCTCAATTTTAATATATTTATCTTTTGACCCCATATATTTCGTATTGTTTGTTTCTCTATCCATTGAGTTTACATCGGTGATTTGGTTGCGTAAAATATCAAACGATAACAGTTTTGTCAGCACTGACAGCAGAAAGTAGCAGGGAAGCAGCCACGTATATGTGTGGTTTTGTAACGCCTAAATCATCACTTTTTTAGCTCTACATTCATCCCATGACTCGGTTGCTTCAACCCCACCTCCTTTCTCTTTCTAAAACTCAGGTACACTCACTTCCTCTCTCTCTCTCTCTCTCGCTCTCGCTCTAAATAATTTAGATATGATTTTATTTTATTTTAATTTTTCAGGTGCCATTCGATTCAATATTTCGAACCCTCTTTTGGCCTCATGGACGGTACTTTCTTCATTAACATTGTTTCATTTTTGCTTTTTTTTTTTTTTAAATGGGTTGTTAATTTGATTCATGGTTGTTTCATTTTTGCTTTTTTTTTAATGGGTTGTTAATTTGACTCTATGGTTGTGCATTACCATTTTTTTCTTTGTTCTTTTTGGTTTTTGGTTTATGGAGTGTTCAAATTTATTGGATTGGATTGGCTTGTTTGTTTGTTATTCTTTAAATAGGATTGATGCTCTGAAACTCAATATCAAGCTCGCATGATGTCATGATGATGCTGTGAGCTTGATGAGTTTTGAGATGAAATTTGAATTAAAACTTGAGAGGTGGACTGGAGCCTCGGAAATCTTATAATTTTAAAGTTAGGTGAGGGCTTTTGATCTTGTTGTCAAGATATATTTTGGATCTCTCCAAGTGCTTATTATGTTTTAGGAAAATGGCTCGTTTTTTCACTTCACCCTTTCTGCATTTTTCATTTGCGTTCAGTTGATAGTTGTAGTTTGTTTGTTTTTTGTTTTTTGGCCTTTTGCTTGAGATTTCCATCATGTGAAGATAAATATTCGCATTTACATACAGCTATACTCGAGTAACTGAGATAGTGCGAGGTCGTGTGGGATTGTTAGCAAATGAAAACAAACTTTATGGATTTAGAACCTTTTGCACTAGCGAAGGTGCGTGATGACCTTTCAACATTTTGTACTACACAACATAATTTATCTTTGAAGATCTTTTCAGTAGCTTACAATTTGAATAATCAGGATGAGGAATTTTATACATATGCTTCTTTTATTTAGTACTTGTCAGTAAATTGAGGAAACATATAAGAGTAAGACACTAGCATTTCAACTGATAGTTAGGTCGTATGTGTGGGTGGGCTTATATATTTATGACTTATCTTGCTAAATCAGAACTAATGTTCACCGTGAATCCTGGCTGTTTTATTCTAAAAGATATCTACTAATATGCAAGTAGGATTTGAATAACAATGCATACATACTATGTGTTTACTTGAGTGACAAGGACCGATGCATGTACGTTAGGCCTTTAGCCCTTTGCTTTAGTGGGATGCCTTTTTTCACATTCTCTGAGATTAGAGTTTTGTCTTTTGTTGTAGTATGCATATATAGGAACCAGTTTTTTCTATCTTCTAATAAACTTTTTTGGTAATGCTAGACTTGACGACTAAAAAGTGTGTGCCATGCAACTCAAAGGAAATGCGTCCCATGGCTGAAGAAAGTGCACATCATCTAATTCCTAAGGTCAGCTCTTAAAATTTTCTTCTGGCTGTGAATTACTATAAATATATTTCTCATAGCTATTAAGCATTGTTTAGGTAGAAGGTTGGAATTTGGTGAAGGAAGATGGTATTTTGAAGCTGAATCGGTCATGGAAAGTGAAGAGCTTTACCAAAGGGTTGGAGTTCTTTAAGTTTGTGGCTGATGTTGCTGAAGCAGAAGGTAATTTTAACCCCTGTTTAAGACTCTTTTTAAACTTCAATGCATATTTGAAAGACTGATGGTGTCTATCTATTAGATATTATATTTTTTCTTTGACATAGATAAGCTTCAATATTGTGTCAATGCAGGTCATCATCCAGATCTTCATCTTGTTGGATGGAATAACATTAAAATTGAGATATGGACTCATGCAGTTGGTAATAATAATTTTCTGTTTTTATGCTCCGTTTTTGTTTCTGTTATAATTATCCTTTTTATTTTATCTATTTTGGTTTGTTGGAAGGAGATTTTCAATTTTTGGCGTTATTGAACTGTGAAAATGGTGGTGTATATTTCTCTTTCTGGAAATTTGAAAAAAACAAAAAAAAAATGTAAGAACTTTACCGTCATCCACATCTTCTTTTGTTGAAGTTTACTTCAATGGAGATACATCTTTTGACTACTGTGTATATGCACGGTGGACTGACAGAAAATGACTTCATACTTGCTGCTAAGATCAACAAGCTTGACCTGCACCACCTGCTGAGAAAAAAGGTCTCTGCTTGGAGATTGATAAAAGTTGTGCTGGCTTTCTAGACTTTTATGAAGAAACCCCATGTAAAAGGATTTTTTTGCTATCTTCATGTTTGTTAACAACAAGTAGTTCTATCTTGTTTTTTTTTTCAAATAATGAACGCCTGAATAACATGATACTGGTTTGTATAAGCTTTATATGCTTTATGTTTCAGCGTCTTGATTGCTTTTCTCATAAAGATTTCTACCTCTTTTAGCTTGAAGATTCTCCCTGGTTGGTAAGACTGCAATTATCGTACCACACAAACTTTTAGATCTTGATTTTAATTTTGGAACCCTAAATCAGATCCCTGATAGGCCACATCTCAGCATATTGTCACGACCGCCTGCTTGGTGACTCAAGTGGGATGCACGTTGCTTAGTGGCTATATACTTCGGAGTTAAGTAAACTTAGTGGCAAAGACACTAATGGATAATGCTTATCCATCCACCTAAGGTTGCCACCTAAGGGTGCCACCTATGTTTTACTTAGAATTAAGTAACTTAAGACTAAGTGTTCAATGTATCTAGACATTTATTTGAGGAGGTTTAGCCTATAAATAGCCACCCCTCCCTTGTACATTTCATAACTTGAATCCTTTCAATACAGAGTTTATATTTTCTCTCAACTTCTCTCTCTAAACTTTATACTTTGAGCTTGTTAGTTGTGTGAGCGTTAGGCTGCTTAACTCATTGTCGAAGAGTTAAGCCGCACGAACTTAGCAAAGATTTAAGTGCGTGACAAGTGGTTCAGAGCCTCGGTTAGCATAACCTCGGTTTTTATTCAATGGTGAAAGACACTGTCGCTTCAACAAAGGGATCCAAGACGGCTGAGATGGAGGCTTCCGAAGAACTGGGTCGCTCGGAGAAAGTCGACCCCACCCCCACCCCTCAAGGCAGAGAGGTAAGTCCAAGACTTTATTTCCAATTTTGACTCACGCCTATCTCGTGTAGAAGAAAGGGTGAGCGCACAGTCGGATGAGCTAGATCATCGGTGGATGAGCTAGAAACAGGTGTCCGAAACTCATACTGTTCGAAAGCCATGTTGCTTCAAATGGAGGAATCGTTAAGGGCGGAAATGGGGAAAATCCGTGAGGATTTCGAAGGGAGCTTGCCAAAACCCGTCATGTGTTCCAAACCGAAGTCAACAGCACCCTTGTTCGCTTAGACGAGGTGCAAGCTGAACTAGCGCAATGCAGCGCGCTATGGTTACAAGAGCTGGCAGTAGCGTCGTTGAAAGCCAACGAATTGACATACCAGGCCTAAAAGCTTTGGGGGCTCACGCAAGGCACAAGAGGTTGATAACTTCTTGTGGGGACTAGACAAGTACTTCGGGCCGTAGGCGTCACGGAGGAAAGCTCGAGGATTGAAACTGCAGTCCTCTACTCACAGACACCGCAAGGTTGTGGTGGAGGAGACGAGAAGAGACATCGAGAAAGGTATTTGCACTATCTCTACTTTTGATATTTTTAAAGAGAGCTTAAACGGCAGTTTTACCCGGAGAATGCCGAGGATGAGGCAAGAGCTCGCTTGCGACGGATCAAGCAAACAGGGACGATCCATGATTATATCAAGGACTTCACCGACTTGATACTGGGATCCCGGAGATGTCCACAAAGATTCACTCTTCAACTTTATGGATGGGTTACAGTCATGGGTAAAAACGGAGCTAAGGCGTCGGGAGTGCAAGATCTTGCCACGGCCATAGCAGTTGCTGAGAGTTTGATTGATTATAGCACCCAAAAAAGAATCCGGCGGCAAATCCAAGAGAAGAAGGGTAACTTTGCTAAAGTGCGGGAGTAAGGCAATCTAAAGAGAGTTACCGAGACACCCGGCAAGACAACTCCTCATCCAAAGGCAAGGACAAGGGCAACGTTGGGAAAGGGCTCCAACAAACCCCGCAACGGCTGTTTCATTTGCAACGGGCCACATTGGGTGAAAGATGTCCGGAGAAGAAGCTCTCACTTCCCTCATAGCCAGCACAAGAGGGCACCCGGCCGAAAGCGTAGTGATGGGGCACATATGGGATCGTGCAATTACTCAATGGATTCAGTCCGCACCAAACCCAGCCAAAGGGTTGCTCTATGTTGATATGGCCATCAATGGAAGGCCACCAAAGCCATGGTAGATACGGGAGCTTCGCATAATTCATTTCAGGAAGCGAAGCACGTCGGCTAGGCCTTCAAGCTTCAGGAGGCGGGGGCACAATCAAGGCAGTCAACTCATGGCACAACCATACAGGGAGTGGCTCGACATGTCAAGACGACAATGGGAACTTGGTCCGGCTACTTAGATTTCTCGGTTGCACCGATGGTGACTACCAAGTTGTGCTTGGCTTAGAGTTCATGGAAAGTCAAGGCATTTCCCTTGCCGTCAACCAACACCATGTGTATAATGGACGGGGAGCACCCTGGTGTGTTGCCTACTAGCCGCTCTACCAAACCGGAGACAACGGTACTTTCAGCCATGCAGTTCAAGAAAGGCGTCAATAGAAAAGAAAGTTACTTGGCCATCCTCAAGCAGTTATGATGAGGAACCAATCCCGCCAGAGGCAGTGCCCCGGAAGTAACACAAGTACTCGAAGAGTTTATTGATGTCTCACCAAATGAGTTGCCGAAAGAGCTACCACCTAGAAGGGAGGTAGATCATCAGATTGAGCTTGAGCCGGCGCCAAGCCACCTGCTAGGGTCCTTACCGAAGGCACCACCAGCTAGCCGAGCTAAGGAGGCAATTGCGGGAACTTCTGGATGCAGGGTTCATCAAGCCCTCCAAAGCTCCCTATGGAGCCCCGGTCTTATTTCAAAGGAAGAAAGATGGTTCTTTGCGGATGTGCATAGACTACCGAGCTCTCACCAAGGTATCTGTGAAAAATAGCTATCCCATTCCTTTGATTGCTGATCTTTTTGACCAGCTGGGGCGCCCGCTACTTTACCAAGCTAGATCTGCGGTCAGGCTATTATCAGTGCGCATAGCTGAAGGCGACGAGCCAAAGACCCACTTGTGTTACAAGATGACATAGTAGTATATAGCAAACTTGGGAGGAGCATGTGCACCACCTAAGGGAGTGTTCCAAGTACTGCGGGATACAGCTGTTATCAAGAAAGAGAAATGCTCTTTCGCCAAGCCGGAAGTGATGTTCTTGGGTCACAAGATCAGGGATGGGCAACTTATGATGGAAGATAAAAAGTGCGGGCTATTCAAGAGTGGGAAACACCCACCAGGGTGCCGGAGTTACGATCCTTCCTGGGTTAGTTAACTACTACCGCGATTTATCAAAGGCTACTCAGCAAAGGCAGCCCCGTTGACAGACTTACTCAGAAGAGCAAGCCGTGGGACTGGTCTAAGAGGTGTCGAGCCGCCTTTGAAGAGTTAAAGCTGCAATCAGCAAGGAACCAGTGCTTGCCTTGCCAACCACACTCAGCCATATAAGTGCACACGGACCATCGACTTTGCCATCGGGGGGGTACTCATGCAGAATGGGCATCCGATTGCTTATGAAGTCGAAAGCTCAATGAACTGAGCGGCGTTACACTGTGCAAGAAAAGGAGATGACAGCCATCATCCATTGTCTTAGAGTGGGCGCACTACTTACTGGGGTCTAAGTTTGTTATTTTAACAGATAACGTCGCAACAGCTATTTTCAGACTCAAAAGAAGTTAAGTCCGAAGCAGGCACGGTGGCAGATTTTCTGCCGAGTTTGATTATGTCCTGGAGTACAACCGGGGAAGACCAACGTAGTGGCAATGCATTGAGCCGCAAGACAGCGCTGGCAAGCATTAGTCAAGTCACAAGTGTGTTGCCCGACAAATCAAGCAAGGACTCCAGCATGAGCCATTGGCTCGAAACATCATTGCCTTGGTTGAAGAAGGGAAAACCCAGGTTTTGGTTAACTGATGGCTTACTTTACACCAGGGCAACCGCCTCTACATCCCAAGATGGACAATCTGAGGAAAGAACTGATCAAGGAGTGTCATGACTCCTTGTGGGCAGCCATCCAGGTATGAGACGTACTCTTGCTCTCTTAAAATCTGCCTACTATTGGCCTGAGATGCAGGATAGTATCGAGGGATATGTACGTACGCCTTGTTTGCCACAAGACAAGGTAGTGCAACAACAACCGGCAGCTTACTACAACCTTTGCCCGTGCCCGAGAGACCATGGAGAGTGTCTCAATGGACTTCATCACATGTTGTGCCGAAGTCTGAAGGGTCCGGTGCATCATAGTCATTGTGGACAGGTTTAGCAAGTATGCCACCTTCATCCCCGCATCCACCGATTGCACAGCAGAAGAAACAGCCAAGCTTTTCTTTCGCAACATCATAAAGTTATGGGGCATTCCGACAAGCATAGTCAGTGATCGAGATCCTCGGTTCACCGGAGATTTTGGACAGTTTATTTAAGATACTAGGTTCAAACCTAGACTTTTCGACCAGCTTTCATCCCCAAACTGATGGTCAAACGGAGCGTGTAAATGCATTGTTGGAGCTATATTTGCGGCACTATGTAGTGCTAGCCAGCGGAATTGGGCAAAGCTCCTGGCACACAGCCCAATTCTCATTTAACTTGCAACGGAGCGAGGCAACCAACAAGATTCCGTTTGAGATCATCATGGGTCGGCAACCGAACACACCTCTTTCCCTAGCCACACCTATGATGGGAAGACCCTGCAGCCTTCAGATTAGCAAAGTCATGGCACGAACAAACTGAACTTGCTCGTGCAGCCCTACCAAAGCAGCAAAGAAATGAAAAATGGCTGACAAGAAAAGAAGGCATGTTGATTTCCAGAAGGTGATCTTGTTCTTGTAAGCTTCTGCCCCACACAGTTCAAGACATTGAGGAGAGTGCACAAAGGCCTAGTGCGCAAATATGAGGGCCCTTTCAAGTGATAGAACCATCGGCAAAGTCTCGTATCGACTCCAACTTCCTCCGAAATTGAAGATACATCCGGTCTTTCATGTAAGTTTGTTGAAGCATTTCATGAAGACCCGGAGGGCCATCCCGAGGAGTCTCTAAACAGCACCAACCGCTGTCGTAACATGCTTTGACAAGGAAGTCGAAGAAATATTGGCCGATAGAGTCGTTCGCCGACGAGGAGTGCCAAATTACCGGGAGTACTTCATCAAATGGAAGGGACTTCCCGATACTGAGCCAGTTGGGAGACCGAAGACTCATTGTGGCAATTCCAAGACTCCATCCGGAGTTATAAGGATAGTGCGACAGGCGTCGCAACATTAGGTGCGGAGAGTGTCCCGACCCGCTTGCTTGGTGACTCAAGTGGGATGCACGTTGCTTAGTGGCAAGTATACTTCGGAGTTAAGTAAACTTATGGCAAAGACACTAATGGATAATGCTTATCCATCCACCTAAGGTTGCCACCTAAGGGTGCCACCTAGTGTTTACTTAGGAATTAAGTAACTTAAGGACTAAGTTTTCAATGTATCTAGACATTTTTTGAGGAGGTTTAGCCTATAATAGGCCACCCCTCCCTTGTACATTTCATAACTTGAATCCTTTCAATACAGAGTTTATATTTTCTCTCAACTTCTCTCTCTTAAACTTATAACTTGAGCTTGTTAGTTGTGTGAGCGTTAGGCTGCTTAACTCATTGTCAAGAGTTAAGGCCGCACGAACTTAGCAAAGAAGTTAAGTGCGTGACAATATGCTCATGATGGAGCCCCACCGTTTATGGGCAATTACATGCAGGAAACCAGTTATTGGCTAGCTTTGAGGGACTTGATTTGCTCTCTAACCCCATGTCGTTGGATTGAATGTGGCGTAAACCTGCAGATTCCATCCATCTCTGCTTTTTTTCTTTTTTACCTGGCAAGATTTAGATATGAGATCACTCACTTAACAAAAGTTGTGGTGAAATAAGCTTATCTGGTCCAAACAAAAACCAGAGCACCTACATCACTCATGGCCAACTTTCCCCAGTTTTATAACATGAATGAATCGATACTTTTGCGTTGTGGCTTTTAGGCCACCACATGCATATACCCACTTCAAGAATAACTTTACTACCATAGTTCAATTGCCAACCCAAAAGCATTATTCATTCCTATTTCTGCATATTGATTCTAAACATTAACAATCAGTAAATAAATAGATACTACAGAATTAAGTTTAACATTAAAAAAAAAAAAAAAAAACTCCCGCCGGCATTTTCTCCAGAACCCTTGTGTGATTATACACCCGGCCGCTATCTCATACCAGTGAAATTTTCAGTCCGACAATCTTTACAATCGCTAATATCCATCTACATTTGAAGAGGTAAAAGGTTGCTTCCTAGCCCAAGACAAGGGCTCCATACTCTGAAGGGTATTGAATCCAAAAGAAAAATCTGTTCTCCATTTTAAGCAGTGGAAATCTACCGCAATACCTTTCTTTTGGTCATCAATCTAAAGTAGCACCTGAAAACAACAGGAATGCACTGTGTTCAGTATAAATATGAATTCACAGGAGGTAAAGAAAACAAAGGTTACATTTTGCATATTAATATACATTTTTACACATTAGCTACTATATCGGAAATTCAAATATGGGACTACTAAGACTCATTAAGCCCCCCTGAGATGAGATCCTCGGTGAGACAAATACCAAACTGTAACCCCGTGATTTTCCTCTCCTATAGTAAAAATTTAATCAATTTATTGAGCAAATGGGCAACTGATTATTTTATGGTTAATAACAAGATTTTAAGAGGGAACTTAATTAACTTGGTGACAAGAATGAAGTCAAAATAGTCTTGGAAATTCTTAAGCATCGATATATGTGAGCCAGATTCTTTTGTAATGTTTTCTTAATTCTCGGGGATTCTTTTGAATAAGAGTGGAAGAAAATGGGTTGAAAGAAAGAATTTAGGAAGTGTTGGATCACTTGGGGATATGAACCATTCTCTAAAGGGGTTAAAAGAGGTTAAGCTGCAAACATGACTTTGTAGAGGGCTACTGAATTGTTAAGTAAAATCTAATTTAATGTTACATGAAGATATAATCTTAACCCTCTCGCCAAACCGTTTTCCTCCACTTTTTCTTCTCTTTCCCTCTTCTCTACAAATCATGTTTTGCAGCTCAACCTCTTTTAGCTCCCAAAAGAATGGTTCTTATCCCTAAGTGATCCAACACTTCCTAAATTCTTTCATTTCAACCCCATTTTTCTCTATCTTTTATTCGAAGATCCCTGAGAATTAAAGAAAACATTACAAAAGAATCCTTGCTTCCAATAAATCAGTGGATTATATCATCACACAACCTATTTTCCTTTAGCCAATCGATTGATCAAATTTTTACTATATAAGAGGAAAATCACGGGGGTTACAAAAACCTTCATCTTCAAATAACTAAGTTCATCATATTGGGATATTTTTTGGGTTTTGGCTTTCATACCTTTTTGTTGGGAAAAACCAAAACAATCAATGCAAAAAATAAATAAATACTTTCCCTCTTTGTGCTATTGACATGAGATTGTGTACAAAAAACGAAATTGCAACACAATTATCAGTACAAATTAATCACCAAATTGAATAAAGCCAAGATAAAATCATTTACAAATTAAGACACCAAATTTACATGGAAAAACAAAATAGGTAAAAAGCACGAGAACTGTGATTTGATATCAAGTGCTGAAATAATGGATAAAAGTGAAGTTTCTTATAATGCAATATTTGAGGCTCACCAATAAAAAAAATATCATCAAAAGCTCTTGTTTCTTAATAAAAAAAATCATCACTAATGAAGACGGAACCTAACAAAAGATAAGTTTTTGTACCTAGTAAGAGGATTTAACAAATAAAAGTGCGGAGAGGGTAAACTAGAACTCGAAATCAATGAAAATATGGAGAATGATACTGGGAACAAGCATCCCAATGAGCTAGAACGAAATTTGTTTAGCCATGGATGATCAAGATAACGATAAAAATCCTAAGCCTACTCTCTTTTCTCTCGTCACTCTCTTCCCCCGACTGCTTTTTCATTTTCCACTTAATGGACACTAACACGTGCACTTAATGTCATATATTTTGGTTTTGGGTTTTGTTTGGACTGCGGACATAAAACCTGGTGTTTAAATTTCAAAGCAAATAATCACAATTTTTTAGAATAATCATCAATAGAAGTCACAAAATGCACCACTAAGCGTTCTAGTTCGTGTAGCATAATCACAAGTATTAATCAAATCAAGAATATTTAATTTTCTAGATGGTGAGAATATTGGACATGAGTTCTAGATGCTTTTCCAACTAAGCAATGAACACAAGTATAAAAGAAAAATGAAAACATCGCATGGTAAAACGAACTCTGTTCTTGCTTAATTCAGAGTGCTGTTTCTTGGGACCATTCTCCAATTTCTAGTTTAGGCTCTCACTAGTTAGACACACAAAACTAAATTTATGTTGCACTAGTTGAAATCCATCTCTATCGATGATAATATTGTGCTAAGAACCAAGAGCATTGCTCNTTTCTTGGGACCATTCTCCAATTTCTGGTTTAGGCTCTCACTAGTTAGACACACAAAACTAAATTTATGTTGCACTAGTTGAAATCCATCTCTATCGATGATAATATTGTGCTAAGAACCAAGAGCATTGCTCTTTTGATGATATATTATTGATTGATGAGACTCTAATATTATACTAGTCTTTGCTTGTACACATTATTGTCATCAAATATTTTGATCTCAGATTATGATCACTCTAGCTTTTCCCATTTGGTTTTCTACGTAAAGTTAGTGGCTTGATTTGAGGATGATTTTTTTATCTTGTTTATATTCTTTGCTTTGGTAGCTATTGATCATAATAATTGTGTCTTGTTGATTAGTATATAATCTCATTTTGATTTCACAGAGGGTAAAGAAATTTATTTTGCATCGTTAGTTTTTGTTCTTCCCAACATAAGGTGTGTTTGTCATTCCTAAAAAATCCAAGAGGATTAGATCTAAGAAAAAAGAGGAATAATATACATGGAAGCTGTGAATATTATATTAACTAAGAATAAGGTTCAGAAATTTGCATATTTGAATGTGGCACAAAGTTTAGATTGTATAAGGGTTGTCCGAAGTTCTCTATTTTCACTATATCAGAGTTGGATTCAATCATGCAGTTTCTTGACCACAAAATAGAAACATATTGTGAAGTGAAGAAGCAGTTACACCTCTAATCCCCACCAATTTGATGGAGGGCACTGCTTCGTCACAATCCCTACTAGAGTTGCTAAGCCTATTATCTCCGAGGTTGGATGACAACCATATTAATGTTCTCCAAAACTTGAATATAAGCACCACCAATTATTATGATGTTGAAACACAAACTTATCTGAAAGGCTTTAAATGAACTTTTACCAAAATAAGGATTGTTTAAACAGTCAAAAACTCAGGCAGCCCAGCCACATGTATTCAGAAGTACAGTTTGTGCTCGGAAATTTGAAAGTTGACTGTAAGGGAAGATGCATCCAAATGGATGACGTAAAAGTTAGATCAAAGAAAGTTGCAGTAGAGGAAGATCTATTCCAATGGATGACATAAAATTTGATAAAATCAGTAATTTGCTACAGGACATAGGTTTTCACGAAATTTTGGGACAATGGAAGATTTCATTCACACTCCAGACAATCAAAACAAGGTTCAATCGTACATAGGTCCTCAAATTCCTCAACTAAGTCATTGATCCAGGGAAAAAATGAGAAGAAACTGGATGAAAATGACATTGCAGTCTCTTGGATTAAAATGTGAGACTAATCCAAGTCCTGCCCTCCTGAAATACCCTTACCACAGCACAATCCGGATAAAGAAAAATCTAAGTTTCGTTGATGAAGGGCAGGGCACTAAATTCACAGATAACAGTTCATTCAACAAACAGAACATGACATTGGCAATCAATTTAATCATTTTCATCCCAAAACACAAATAACCACTAAAAAAAACGAAATAGGAAAGAATTGTAACATCAATTGACACATTTCTAATGCTAATGAAACTAATTCTCCAGAAAATTTCAAAAAAATGCAGATCCAGTTCATAAGCATCAAATATACATCAATTAGCTAGAAAATGGTATGATACTAAAAGAAAAAACACAAACACAAATATAGGTAGCCATTAGATAAGGAAATGTACCTAAAATTCCAATGCTTGATTGTCATTTTGAAATAGGCTTTTGCAAAAGAGCAGTCAAGTAAACATCCCCAGTTTTGGCATTCTTAGTAGCAGTTGCCCACTTCACCTTCTTGTATCCGAATTTCCCAATCAACGGTCCATAAACCTTCTCAAGATCCAACCCTTTACTAAAAAACCGATCAAACCACAAGTAACCTCCAGCCCTCAACACTCTATCAACATCATAAAACAAAAACTCCATCATTGTCACAGGTATCCACCTATTCACCGCGTGCCCACATCTCACAAGATCCACCACACCATCAAAAACCGGCAACCGTTGCTGCAACGGCACATGCAGTGGCACAAGCCCTCTTAAAGCCACTGCCTCACTATAAGGTGCACCAAGATTCATAGTTGTAGTAAGCACAGTCACATTATAAAGCTTCATTCTTGCTGCAAAAGAACCAGTAGCACCACCCACATCAACCCCAAGTCTTATAACAAAATTTGCAGCTTTAGCTATCTGAAACAACTGTGGAACTGGGAGATCCAGTTCAGTCTTGAAATTTAAAAAAGATGAGACTTTTTCACTAGTGGGATCAAACCCAAGATTGGGATTCTGTTTCGCAAGACAAGAGAAGCTTTTACAGTTGTAATCAGTCCATATAACATTAGAGTCAAGAAGAGAACCAAAAGGGTTTAGCGACAAAGCAGAGGAGGGTTTAGGTGGGGTCCTCGAGAAACACCGGCGGCGAGGCAGCGGATGGCAGCCGTGAAGAAGAAGAGTCTCTTGAAGCTGAGTGTCAAGCGGGCACAAAGTGAAGGGAGTGTAGCTCATGTACCGGTGAAGAAGGTCAGGGTGATTGTGACAAGAAGAGGCAATGGGTGAGAGGCGAGAGTAGACAAGGAGATCTTGGGGAATGGTGGAGGCGGAGGTTGAGGTGGTGGTGGTAGTGGGAGGAGGTTGGTGGCGCGTGAGGTGGTTAATAGTGGCCCGTATGGTTTGGAGTTGATGAAGAAGATGGTCAGGGACTTGCTGAGGAGTAGGGGGTTTTGGAGAGAGGAGCGTGGTGGAGGAGAGATGGTAGAGAGAAAGGATGTTGGTAGCCACCATGGCTAGAAGAAGAACCAAATTCAAGCCCATGGTGAAACCCATTTGGTTCGAAACTTGAGTTCCTTGATCTAAGTACCTTGGTTCAGTTGTTTGTCTTGGCGTGGGAGCTTTTAAACCTAAAAGTCTTTGGTTTTGTTTGACTGTTGAGTGAGTGAGCGAGCGAGTGTGAGTCACTGAGTCGTACTATATCTAATGATAATCTGGTTCACTGTGGTAAGGTGCATTTTGAGATCCGACTTGGAAACTCATCCAGCCGTTGATTGGTTATCACGTGGTTCCGTGTAAGGTTGTCTTGGTCGGGGTGGTGGTGGGTGATGCAGATCTAGATTTTGTTTGAAGCCAAAAACAAAAAACGGAAGGCTCAAGTTGCATGGATTTGTGATTAAGACGACTCGCGAAATGAAAAAAAAACGTGGACTGAGGGAGCCACCTTTAAATGATCAATTGATAAATTTATATCCGTCCATTTTTTAAATACTCTTTTAATATCAAATTATAATTTTATTAATAATTTTCGTTGTGAGAAAGGATAAAATGATCAAAAGTTTATTATTTGTAAAAATAGAATGGTTAACAAACATTTGACTGTTAAAAAAGATAAAAGAAATAGAGAAGACATACATTAATAAGAGATGGTACATATTAACAACATCGTAATTGATGATTTTTGTTGTTTTCTAACAGATTCTCGATGTTTAAAATCACTTTTGAGACCACCCACAGAATCTTCATCACCTCCTTTACAAAACTCAAGTCTCCATTTGTCGTCATCACTCACTATTTCCCACTACCACCTTCATTCACACAATTGACTCTTGAAACTGAATTTTCGGTCGTTCTTGGTGTTGGAAATCCACCTTGAAACTCACTGCCTCCTCTATCCTCTTCCTTGAGCCTTTCTCACCCTTAATCCGTTCACCCCGAGGCTAGTGCACTTGCAAATTGCCAAAAAACGCCACCTAAGTTTTTGCGTGATTTTCCATCTTGCCAGCCTTTTTCTGGGCGATTCAATCATCGAAATCGCCCCTACCACGACCGTTCGACTCCCTACCATCTGCTCTTCAAAACCCACCCCTCTCATAGCCCTCCGTGCTCGCCATTTTTCGCTCGTGTCCGGCTCTTTCTGCCATGGGACAGTCACCATTTGCGGTCATTGGGTTTTTGGTGCTCGATTAGTGGGTTTTGATTGGTTGTGTTGGTGTTGTGTTTTTTTTTTTGCCACCGTTCTCTCCCAGATCACTCCAACCTCGTTGCCCTAAAGTTGCTCAACACCTATTCGATTTATTACCGCACCCAGCTCTTAGCATCCAATTATGACAATTGTCGGCAATGGAAGAGGTTAAGAAGAGAAGAAAAAAGAGGATTTTTTTTGCAAATCTCTATATTTCCCACCCTAAACATAATATTTGGGTACTAAAAAGATATTTAAAAAGTGAGTGGGTATGCATTGGTTAGTGGACCATTTTTTGGGTGGAAACATGTTGTTAACTCTAATTCGTTAGACAGAATTGGGGCCGTTGGCACAGAGCACCTAAATGGGCTTCACCTTCAAACTTTGGACGTCACTTGTCCTAGGGCTGGTGGCGGGGCTGGAAGCCTGGAACTGGGACACCACGACCCGGCCCCAGATTTGATATCAATTATATATATATATATTTTTTTTTTTAATTTAAAAAAGAAGAAAAAAAAAAAATCTTGCTCGACAAAAGGCAGGAAAGTGGCGTTTGAAAAACGCTAAGCCGTATCCAAACAATCGTGTTTGACAGAGAAGGAGAGATCGCATCCCAGAACAACTCCAAACACACAACAAGGCCGCGTTTGTTCATTCAATCTTATCAATATGGTAAGTGTTGTCCTCTTCTTGGCAATCCAAACACTCTAGCTAGGGTTTTATTATTTCATGCTTATAAATTATTTATGGGAAATCGGAACTTTAACTGAACCAGATTTATTTCGTTTTCGTTTGCTTTTTTATGAGTTGAATGTTCATAATTGAAACACTAAGCTAGTTTTGGCTTAGGTTAAACTTTACCTTGGTTCGATAAGTAATTCTCGAGGTTATTATTAATATTATTTTGGGATATGATATGATAAACAAAATTATGCCGGAAGCAAACTTGTCTTGAGTAGATTTTAATTTTTCCAGGAGAAGTTTATGATTACTGCTTTCACTAATCACATTGCATGAGTTGTTGAATATAATACTATCTAAGTGTAGAATAATTATGCGTTTTTTTTTTTTTTAATTGGGAATGCTAGGAAATTCTGAAGTGGATTATTTAGAAGGTGTTTTTCCTAGTAGATGTCTAAATTTTTTGTATGCATTTTGATTACATTACCTTGGGAGTTGCCTTTGGTTGTTTTCCAGTAGACAGATCATTTAATCTTTCTTAATCAGCTTAAAAACTTTACAAGAGATTTTATGGCTGGCAACATAATGTATTTATTATATTATTTAATTAGATGATGAATTACGTTGGTATCAATTCCTGCTTATTAACTTTTGATGTTGGGAACTCACTGATTGGCAATGATCCTGAAGAGAGTCTATGAAGAGATACTCCAAAGACTATTACTTATTTGTTTAAGCAGCTAGCTTGTTCTATCATGCTTGTGTTACCTATATGTCTGTTGAATAAGTGGTCTACATTTGGATGATATGCATACTAGGGAGATATCTTTTGGCCATAAATGCAATTTTTGTTATAAGTATTTTTTCTATAATAGTTTAGGTTGAGTTGGGTCTAGATCTGTGGCCATACCAGGAAAACTTTGGTATTTAGAGTAATTGCTTTTCCTTTTTTTTTACTCCTAGTTTAATGAAGCCATGTAGACAATGTTTCCAAAAGGAAAACATTAATTTGATATTTCCTCTACCTGTCTATCTCTCTGGATTTAGCTGTACTTACTGGAGATTGAATTTGTCCCTTCTTGTTATTAGGCTGATCCTGAATTAGAAGCAATCAGACAAAGAAGAATGCAAGAGCTCATGGCTCAACGTGGCATGGTAATTGATCACCTCTTTTTAATTTCTCAACATTTCACTGAAATTCGTATTGGCTTATCTTGCCTTTAATGTGAATGGTACCGATCAAGTGTAATTGTTATACAGGGTAGTCAACAAAACAATGAGCAGCAGAAAGCACAGGAAGAGGCCCAGAGGTATGTTTTTGAATCTGTGTGTTACATCATGGCAAACTTATTCTTTGCATTTGTAGGACTTTACCTTGTTATTATTTCATTTTAATTTTTGAATATGCTTTGTTGATCCTGAGATTTGAGTGATTATCTTAGGGAGGCAGATGAGCAAAGGCAAATGATGCTTAGTCAGATTTTGTCATCCGAAGCACGTGAAAGACGTACGTTTGATATTTGACCTTTTGACAGTAAAATATTTATTTTTCCCATCTATAGTCATTGGGAGAAATATGTATAATTATCGCATAGATTGACAAATAGAAGGTTTGAGAAGTTATGGGTGTTTGTGTTGGAGGTTGAACACCAATTATAGTAATCAAATTGCTCAGTCTTTTTGTGTGAGATGTGCAGTTTAATGGAAACTCGAATCTGAAACTACTATGTTGATAGTAAACAGTATAGTTCTTAGTAGAACAGATAAAGGGTTAGCATTTCAGCAGCAGGCAGAGATACTGGGCCTAGCTATTTGTTAAAATAAACTCTTTATACTGTTAATATATTGATCTTACTTATATTTTTATCTCATAAATAGTTGGCATCATATATTTCCTAAGCTAATATACTATTTGCACAGTTTCTCGAATTGCTTTGGTGAAACCTGAGAAAGCAAAAGGAGTTGAGGATATTTTACTGAGAGCTGCTCAAATGGGCCAAATAGGTGAGAAGGTATGGTGGAAATTTATTGTGTCTCAGTTCCCTTTATTGAATGCAAGCTGGTTGTTGGGTGCCTAGCACTAATTCAAGAAAATGTTACTATCAAGCACAATCATACTTGACTGATGTTTCTATGTAGGTTTCTGAAGAAAGGCTGATATCATTGCTGGAACAAATTAACACCCAAAACAGCAAACAGACCAAAGTCACTGTAAGTCACCTCACAATTTATCATCGTCTCTGAATGCTTGTATTTTATTTCTTTGTTCATGATCTTTTTCCTCATTTGTTGCCTTGACATGCTCCGATATTTCAGATCCAGAGGCGCCGGAGTGTTTTGGAAGATGATGATTAGCTTTAATCCAATCTTGGCCCTATATTTTGTGTGATAAAATTGTGTTATGTTGCTTGTATAATCAGTGTGACCTGTGTAACCATTCTCAACCGGATTTCTTGCTCGACATTGCATTCTCTATCCGACTCCATCCAAATTCATAATTGAGACTTTTATATATCTATGTACTGTTGAATTTTAACTTTCTGGTAATGAATTCTAAACTTTGTTAAGACAAGTGAGGTGAGGTTATGAGTTAATTTGATTGTATGAGATTTGATTGAGAAATAGATGGTTGAATGGTTTTGTTTGGAGTACCTTGTGTTACAGCCGAACAGGAATATTTTTATGAAGGTAGTCTTGATTCTTGAATAGCTCATCCAGTAGGGTGCAAGGTGCATATTATTAAAAGGTTTTAATTAAACAGAGACATACATTTCTTCAACAAACTAAACACCCTGTCCCTAACCACTGAACACGATGGCCACTTCAACCATCTTCAATCACCACCACCCTAACCACCCGGACAAAACCACAAGAACGTTGTCAAGGACTGATTCATTATGAGGGTCATGCTTGATCTCAACACAATTAGCGTTTAAGGTTTTGCATGCTCTCACGATTATGACCCCCTCTAATTGCCCATCCATAATTCTGTGTTATGTTTTGAGGTTTAAAATTTTAGAGTTTATTAATTTGAGATTATGTTGTTAGAATAAATTTGTTTTGAGTTTATGTTAGTGTTTTAAAACCTAGCTCAGCCCCGCGAATTGAATCGGTTCAACCGGACCCAAGGCCTTCATTGGGTAAGGTTACAAATTTTCCTATTAATTGAAAACCTTAGAAATTAGGATATCAATCTGTGAACAATTGAAGGTTAAAATGTTAGGGTTTTTGAAGAAGAATGGCTGGTGAGTGCAATGATGTAAGGTGGTGGTGATTTCTAGTGAGTGAATGAACCGACAATCGCAAAACTATGTCGCCAGAAAAAGCTTGTTGTTGACAATGATTGGGGAGGCGAATGGGAGAAGGGTGAGATGGGTTTTTGTTAAGAGGTTGAGCGGAGTATTTTTGTTAGGGATGGGCACAGGTCGGGTCGGGGTCGGGGACCCCTGTCTTCGACCTCGGCCCGAAAGGCCAAGGGGATTCCCCGATCTCGACCTGTAGCCTGTTCGGGGAATCCCTGAAAAAAGCCCATTCCCCGTTTGGGGGTTTTGCGTCTTTTTATGTCCTTATTACTATTTTCTCCAAATTATAATATACTATTAAAAAAGAAATTGAATCTATAATGATTTATTATAATCAATCAAAACACCAAATGATATATTACACATATATAACATATTATGTATTAACATATGATTATAGATAATAGCATATTATATACAATGTATAACATATATATGTTATATACATTATACTTATATACAATATACAATGTATAATGTATAATGTCAAATGTATACCATATATACCATATATAATGTACAATGTATAATGTATAATGTCAAATGTATACCATATATACCATATATAATGTACAATGTATAATATATAATATATAATATATAATGTCAAATGTGTATCATATATTATGTATAATATACAATGTATAATGTCAAATGTATAAGTTTTGTTTTGTAGCACTAACATATTATGGATAATGTATAATATATATATTACGAATATTTATCATGATTTATTATATTTAATCTAGTTTTATTTATTACTTATTTGTATATGGTTTAAAAAAATACTTATACAATTTAATTTGTTATTGTATAATATATGATTGATTTTCAAATATTAAAATTAATATAGATATATATAATATATATGATTGACTTTTCAATATATATATACGGGCCGGCCTAGGGATTTTAGGGCAGGGACAAAACGGGGCTGGGGCGGGGCGAGGCAAGACCTATCCTAGCCCTGACCTGTCCCTGAATTTTGGGACTATTTTCGGGCCCGATTCCAACCCAAATCTCAAATGATTTGGGGAAAATTCACCCCGTTCAGGGCAAGTCCCTGCAGGGTCGGGTTTTATACCCATCCCTAGTTTTCGTGGTGATGGGAAGTGTTGTCATCGTAAGAAACAGACCCTTTTTGTTAACTTTTTGCAAGATTTCAAACTTATAAGAATTTGCATGTAATTTTCAAAGGTATTTTTATTAAATTTCAAACTTTTAAACACCGATTTGATCAGTCGGTTAAACCGGTCAACCTAAAGCAAGTCATTTTATCGAGTTTCACCTCAGGTCGAGTTTTAAAAATATTGGTCTATATCATTGAGATTGAGTTATCAACTTGGATATTCAAACAATTATATTTGGAGTGACAAATATTAATAATAGGGCTATAAATATCGCTTTTTTTTTTTTAGATGTTTTCATATAAAGTTAAATATTAAAAACATGTGGGTTTAATTATATTTTTGCAAACAATAATACTACGCTTAGACCACTTCTTTACATCAATCCCTTACATTATGACATGGTAGATGACGTAATAATTGATTGAAATTATGAGGGGTTGCCAAATGATGTGGCACTACGATATGTTGATGTTGATAGTGATGCTGACAAGGATGATGAAATTTGAGATATAGGGTTTGCAATTTTTTTTATTTATTTATTTATTTATTTTTATTTTTCAGAGGAAATGACGTGGGGATTGATATAAGGGGAGTCGTGTAAGTATTAGCGTTATTGTTTTGAGTTTTGACAAAGCTGATGGTGAAAATGTATTTAGCGGATATCTTCGATTTCACGCGCGAACCACAACCGCGTGTTTGTAGAAAACTCGTGAAATGAAAGAAACCAAAAACTGTGTCGTTTTAGTACTACTACTCGGCAACGAATAGAGTCTACAGAATTAACTACTTGCGCTTTACTAGGCATTTGCTTCCCCAAACTACTGGAAGAACGAATCAAACTTTTCACAAACTTTCTTCACATTTTTTTATCCTATATAAGTACATATGTCTGTATAAGTGTATATCCATGGATATTCATATACTTCACTATGTCATCCTTTTAATTACTTTTTGCCCTTTCATTATTTCGTACTGAACAATACTGTTTTTGGTTTCTTTTTTTGTTTTTTTATAACTTCATCTTTGTCTCACTTTTCCCATTAATTTTCATCCAAAGAGGTTTCTTGGTGACACCATAAGCGGTTTCCCGGCGAACCCAGATGGAAAAAGAGCCTCTTTTGTCTTATTTAAGTCAGGGAAGGAAACCGATTCCTTCACCTCCTCTTCTTACTCTTCCTGAAGATGGAGAAATCTCTGTTCCAATGCCTTTAACCCCATCTGAATTTAAAGATATTCTCATTTTTGGACCTTCTTCTCCTAAGACACCATCTTCCCCCACTGTGGATGCCTTAACTCTCTCTTTTTCATCACCCAGGGGATCCACTTCTCATTCAATGGTAAGTCCTTTTGAATCGCCCAAAAAACAAACAGTTGTAGAGTCTTCACATTCTTGGTTGCATGAACCCTTCACTAGAAGAACAAAGAGTAATCTTCATAGGTCGAAGACTGCCCCTGCTATGGCTGTCATCAATGAATTACAGCAGCATCCTGTGGCTAAGCCTCAGTTTAGTTCTCAATCTATTGTTAGACAGGCTTTTGTGCTTTTGGTGTTATATTTGTCATTAGGTGTGATTATTTATTGGTTTAATAGGGATGATTTTTCTGCTAATGAGACTCACCCCGTTGTTGATGCTTTGTATTTTTGTATTGTGACAATGTGCACAATTGGGTATGGAGATATTACCCCTAATAGTGTGACAACTAAGTTGTTTTCTATATTCTTTGTGTTGGTTGGATTTGGTTTTGTTGATATTTTGCTTTCTGGGATGGTTACTTATGTGCTTGATTTGCAAGAGAGTAATTTGTTGAAAACTATTAAGGGTGGTGATGATAAGGAGGCTCATGGTTCATATATTGTTGATGTGAAGAAAGGGAGGATGAGGATAAGAATGAAGGTGGCATTGGCATTAGGTGTTGTGGTTCTTTGTATTGGGGTTGGTGTTGGTGTTATGCATTTTGTTGAGAAGCTAGGCTGGTTAGATTCAATTTATCTGTCGGTTATGTCGGTTACCACAGTAGGCTACGGTGACAGGGCTTTCCGGTCATTGGCGGGTCGAATTTTTGCTTCCATTTGGTTGCTTGTATCAACACTTGCAGTTGCTCGGGCCTTTTTGTATTTGGCTGAGGCGAGAGTAGATAAGCGGCACAGGAGGATGGCAAAGTGGGTGCTTGGTCACGACATGACTGTGGCTGAGTTTCTTGCTGCGGATATTGACAACAATGGTTTTGTGAGGTATGGGATTATTGTGATTCTGTAGGCTGTAAATGTAGCTTTTAGTCTTCTTAGGTTGTTTGGGATTGGCTGTAGCATAACTCCAGAAATTCTTTCTATGACTAACATTGTATTGTGTAAATCAGTTTTGGATATCACCAGAATTAGTTAGTTAAACTTTATGTATGTCAAAAAAATAGAGGTAATGTGTCTGTCATATAGTGCATTATGCCATTACCTCGTCAAGATGTGATACATGATGCCAAGTTGTATTCAGTTCTACTTCATGTGAATCTTATATTCATAAACATGGGGTAGATGCTATAAATTTGAATAAGCTGTATTAGTTTAAATATGTGATCACATATTTTGCAGCTTGTGTTCAGCTGTTCCAAATGATGAAGCTTGAAAGTTGGACTTGCTTGAGAAAAGTTTTCCTAATGATTAGGTGATTTGAATGATTAGGTGATTTGAAGTGCCCTTTGTAGTAATGAATGTCTAAAGGAATTTTGTTTGCCCTTGGATTCTACTGATGTGCATTCACATTTGGTAGACCGTCCACTTCTGTCTGTGTTTTTTCATTATTGAATGTAGTAAAGTGCTTCATGGAATTAATTTTATACTTCAAATTCTCCTTTGAGGTTAGGTGGCCGATGCTTATGGTACTTTGATATGAAATTGCTAAACAGTTTAGCATTGTTGTAGAGAAGCAAAATTTGACTCTCTAAAATTGTATCCAATGCCTTTTATTATTACCAAAACGAATTACATCCCAGAAGATTTTTGACAGATTGGATGGCAATCTTTAATTTCCTAATTTGTTCATTATTGCCATTTTCCATGATTTATGGTGTTCCTCTGTATTGCATTTGGATCTGTTGCATTCATTGAACCACTTGAAAGTATCTTAAATAACCTAAGTTCTGCATTCCCAATGTTGTTGCTGCTTAATGTCCCCCTACCCACCCCCTGACCGTGAGTAGGTTATCGAATGTTTTCAGTAGGGTGGTTGATTTTTCGGTTTTGTTTCTCATATCAAGCGTCTTGGTTGTGACATGTACTGGGCATTACCTTTTTTTTTAATGAAATTATTATTGCTTGCCAGGGGAAAAATTAAGTGGAAAATCAAGCGAAAGAAAAATATATATAGTTTTTTTAACGGGAGTATGCATATATATATACTACATGTGTAGAGGTTGGGTCTCTTATGTATTTCTGGTTAGTTGTATTACACCCCTGCATTATCATGCTGATGGAGTTCATATCGTCTGAAGCTCTAGTCTAAACTTTTTGTTATTTTCAGTTTTAAAAAGAGTTTTTAGGATTTATATCTGTTAATTATTATTAAAACATCCATAAGTTTTATCCTTGTTTACAGTAAAAACAGTTGTCTGGATTTCAAAACAAAAAGCCATGCGTTTTTCAGAAGGGAATCACCTAATGGACCAGTTAGGTGTGGATGTATGGCTTTAAGAAATGGCAAGTAGTAAAGAGCTCAGTTTTGATGTGAAGAATATTATCTAATGTTTATGCAAGTTGTTTTTAGTATTGTTGAACTTATGTACACAGTCACAAAAGTTGTGTTGAAACTTTGTATCTCATAAAATTTTAGTGGAGAGAAAATCTAATTCTACATTTTCTATGTTGCAAGTATTTGTTTGATCGTCAGTAAATTGGCATTGGCGTTCGTATCTGTAACTTCTAGCAATTCAATTGTGACCAAAGATATACTTGTTCTCTTGTTGTTTAATATTTATATGATAAATACTGGCCCGTATTTGCTTTACATTCAGTATATTCGGCATAGACATTCCTATTTTGTAACTTGGCTCACGTCTTTGCTAGAATTTCATGATTTCAACATACTTTCTTTCTGCTTTGTCCTTTATCATCAGATTTATATATTTTATGGTTCAATTATATTTATATGATGCCCATTTATTTCACAATGAATCTAACACTAAGTTGCCAGTTTGAGTACTTGACACAAGGTATTGTATTTCTGTTGGTTTTTTATGCAGCAAATCAGAATATGTGATATACAAGCTCAAGGAGATGGGAAAGATAACAGAGAAGGATATTCAGCAAATTTGTAAGACCTTTGACAGGCTAGACGCTGGTAATTGTGGAAAGATAACTCTTGCCGGTCTGATGCCGAGTCACCGAAGATGATTGTGGAAGGGTATCAGGGAAGGCTATATTATTTCTTTTGCTTATATCTATCCATAAACCAGTTGTAAATTGATGGAAGGGCTAGGTTAGTCTATTTCCAAGAATGATGCTCTCTGGACTTCACTGCCTGATTAGTAGTTCTCTTGCCTATCAATCCATTCAATCCATTAACCAGCTCTTGACTTCATATGCGAAGGATGCTCACAAGCTCTCAAGGTCTTGGTTAGATAGACAACTTTATTGATTGACGGCGTAGATGATCGTGAACTAAACATTTTGTAGTGTAGATTGATTCAATTTATTCTTTTATACTAGTACATTAACTAAATATGCTAAGGCTATTTAATTCTCGATGCCGATGCATTTGCAGAGTGTAAATTTTGTACATTGCATAAACTGAGTTCTTTCTCTCATTTGAGGTGTTTCCCACATCTTGTTTGTATTTTGATTTGTAATTAGAATCAAGAGGCCTATAAAATATTGAAGAAAACTTACTTTAACAGGTTCTGATGCCTTTCAACAGACTCAACATTAGTGTTTTTGCTATCATTGAATGTCAAAGTTCTCTCTTTTGTTCAAACGAAATGAGAATTTTTGTACCTAAAACCTGCTTAAACTTTAACATTATTTTACAAAACCCAGAACCCCACATGCAGCATGGCCAGGTTTTTTTGGTATTCAGGGTTTCTATGGGAAACTTAACGGTTAAGTAAACGGTTAAGTAAACTTCTCATGGTTTACCTCTTATTAGTAGTAGTAAGAATTCAAACTTAAAATCTGCTGAATAATTGTAATACAACTAAGAGTCTATAGGAAACCGACAGCTACCCGAGGTAGTTCAGCGTGGCCATGTTATGCAACAGAGACTATTACGCTTGTGATACACGAAACTTGACTTCAAATGTTCTCTTTACATCATTTACTTCTTGAGCTCGCAGCCTAAAGCTGAAACGTGAGACCATTGAAGACTAGCATTTGTCTCTATCCTATGAATCAAATGAAACACGTTACCTCTTGTAAAGCTAATCACTTATTGAGTTTTGTCCCCCTTTCCCCGCAATTTTATCATATGCATGAAAGTCAGCACGTGGCATTAAGCTCTTCTAGTGACAGCGTCAGCTTACTTTGAGAGTTCTGTTGAATTCATTCCTTAACTTTGGAAGGCATGGAAGAGCTATTAGAGAGTTCAGTTCACCAAACTTGAACGTCCGTATCTGTGAATTTTTAATTTATTACAAAGTAGTATTTAGTTGATTGAGAATCGGTTTAAAGTTATTCCAGTTTGCTCTCTGCAATCACTAACTGGGTAATAAATTTTGGTTTAAACAGATTATCACCTTTAAAGCATTATCTTTGTCAACCGCGGCTGGTTTGACTAGAATCAGTCTGCATTTTTTTCTTTTTGGTGACCAGAGTGTTTGGACTAGTTTGTGCACTATTAGGATATTAGGGTTCGTTTTCTTATTTGTTCTCATGCAAAATTGTATGTTTTTAAAAAAAATATTTTATAAAGAATACAATTGTAAATAAGAATATAATTTAGGAGTTGTAATAGGAATTGAAATATGAATCTTATTAGAATTAGAATATCTTATATCTTACCTATAAATATAAGGGTGAGAACCAATTCAAGGTTATGAGAGAACGTGAGAACACATGATATTTGATGTAAGAGTTATTAAACACCATGAGAGAGAGTGTTTTAGAAACTGGGATCGTTTTCACTCTAGGTAATGGGTTGAGGATGGTTAGAAGCTAGGATTGTTTTCATTTTATTTTATGTACTAAGATTATGGTGTTGTGTACACTCTTGTATATCATATTCATGAAACTATAATGGATTTTTTTCATCCGTAGATGTAGGTAGATTATGCCAAACCAAGTAAATATCGTGTCTTTTTGTGTGGTGTGATTTTATTCCTATGTTATTAATCTCGAATAACATGCACCTCAACTAATCCTTGAAGTCCATTGAACACCCTACAAGTCCAAATGACTAAGTACGCTACAATATTATTGTGGTAAATGCCTTAAGATTTGAATCCAAGAACTCAAAAAAGAGAACAAACCTCCTTGACCGTCAAACCAATCTCTTTTAAGGTTTAGAATCAATCTGCATTCCCATTGAGAATCAGTCTGCATTCCCACTGAGGTTTTGGATTGTCTAGAAGCATATTTGTCACTGTATAAGTGTATAGTAATGTCCTATTCGTAAAAGGGTAATCATCGAAGCTTTTTTCTGCAGCAATTAAAGCAAACTTTTAGTTGTTTGTCTACTTGATCATTCAGTGAACTACTTTTGATTTTTTGAATGAAAAGTTCCATCGAAGTCTTCATTCAAAAGTTCACTTGAGTGCTGCCATCCAAAGCCAAACCCTTTTGATTAATTCATGAACTTCAGACTAGACATGGTCCATGTTACTTTATTCTTCCCATAAATCTTCATTCAATCCCCCAATTCAAGCTCCTTTTTCGGTTTTCTTCAAGGTTAAAAGTAATTTTCAGGTACCCCCACATGAACTATAGCTAGTGCAGACCGAGTCAGATTAACATAAATTAACTCAAAAACGAAGAATCTTTAACAAGACCCTTTTGAATTCAAGTAAAAATAGACCAATTATTTAATCTTGTTTCCAGTGAACTTAAATTGACTGGATGAACAATGGCATCTGAATAATTGAGTTCATGGCGTTTACTCAAAGAAGATATGTAAAGAAATGAAATACCCTGAGTCAAACTCTTTTATCTTTCTTTAACAATGACAGTTGGTGATTCCTTCCATAAAATATAATACACTAATTATTTGGTAAAAAGAAGTCCCTTTTTTTTTTTTTTTTTCTTTATCATCTTTTTTACTAGTAAATTGGTGGGACACATTACAACAATAAAAAATATTAGGATGATAGCTTCAGTGGTTAGCTAGACTGGGGTCCAAGAAAAAAATTTGACTGCTGAAATAATCAAAGTATTAATGAGGGTTTTCACATTAGAAGGCTTAAGCTTTGGGAATAAATAATATGATTATTAAATTTGCAACTTTAATTGAAAATTTAATTTATTGGTTTAAAATTGGAATTACTAATCCATTCCATATTCAACATTCCTAATGGAGTAGCTGGTGAATTATGACTGGTGCTACCTATCTTTCATTTTCAAGTCAATTCCAAAATAATCAAATCAGAAAAAAATAATTAAAAATTAAATAAGGTGAAAAAGAAAATGTGATGAAAACGATTGATGTAATTAGCTTCTAATCTTTGATTAATTAATTAATTAATATATATATATATATATATATATAATGTGTGTGTGGGGGGTTGTTTATTTGTTTTTAATGCACAGCATCCGACTGTCGTCGTTCAAACCTATATTGGGAGCAAGGGGGCCTGAGACTATGTGCCTTAACCACATATTTTAGGGCTCGTCCGACCATTTGAGCTACCCAAGGATGGGTTGTTATTGGGTTGTTTTCAAATGATTGACTACTAATAAGTTATTAAATTGGGTTCTTTCATTGATTGATAAAAAAGGAATTATGCATGAAAAATATGCAGTTTTTTTTTTTTTTTTTTTTTTTTTTAAAAAGAAAAAGAAAAATACAATCTTCTCATAGTGTGGCACCTCCACTGATGTTTTTAGTCTTAGATATTATTAGTGAAATAGATTTTGAGTTGGAATAGGTTGCTGATTTTGCCATTAAGTTGCCAATATAGACTTGAATAAGTAATTGACATTGGACCTTAAAAAAGCACGTTGTATAAGTTCTATGCTATTTTCCTTCAAACAAAAGTAGCATTTGATAATGATTTTTTTCGATTTTTTCTTTGTTGAGACAACTTTAGATTAGATACTGACAAGGGCTTAGCCATGGAACTCACCCTTGGGTAGCTCAAGTGGTAGGATGAGTGCTGAGATTTATGATTAAAGTGCACGGTCCCATGTCCAATTCCCCTTAGCTCTCAAGATTTAAGCAGTCTGATTATGACTACAGGGATTAGGGATTAATCGAGGTATGTGTAAACTGGGCCAGACACACTGTTTAAAAAAAAAAAGGGGTTAGCCATTGGACTGCCAAGTATGTAGTTTGTTTTTACTTTTCAAAGAGCATGTTATGTTATATGTTTCTTTTTTCGAATTTTTCTTTGGTCGAGACAACTTTAGATTAGATACCCACAAGGGGTTAGTCGTTGGACCCATCCTTGGGTAGTTCAAGTGGCAGGATGAGCGCTAGGATGCGTGGTTAAGACGAATAATCTCAAATTCAAATCCTCTTCCCTTCTAAGATTTAAACAGGTAATCATGAAGGTATACGTAAGCTGATCAAACCGCTTTGTTAAAAAGAGAGGGTGGTTTGGTGTTAGCCGTTGGATTGTCAGCTATGTAGTTTGTTTTTACTTTTCAAAGAACGTGTTATGTTATACGATTTTTTTTGAATTTTTCTTTGTCGGGATAACCTTCGATTAGAAACCCACAAGGGGTTAGCCGTTGGATTGTCAACTACGTGGTTTGTTCTTACTTTTCGAAGAGAATAGGGTTTTTTGAATTCGAATTTGTAAATAATTTTTTTTTTTTAAATTATATATTTTTGTCCTGAACATTGTGATGTGAAAAGGGATGAAATTATGTATCTTGACACACCTAACAAAAAACCTGCCCTCTGTGTATTGAAACTGAAAGAGACTAGCAATACAAATACTTTATGTCACATTATACATTATATTGAATTCAACTAATTATATAAAAAAGGTCAACAATCTCAAGCTCTCAAGCCCAAAGTCATCTACAATAAACAACTATTCTCACTGATTTTGCAACCACATCTACTTTGTTTAATTTAATTGTATTGTTTTGAATTGAATTCTCCACTAACACAAGAATGAATGTAATTCTATGCGCTATTAATTTTTTTTTTTTTTTTCTATTATTGGTGTATACATATAGAATTTATTATC